TTTTAAAATTAAAAAAAAAAAAAAAAAAAAAAAAAAAAAAAAGTCAGGGATTTTCTCCCACATGTCAGCAAATGTCATCCAATATTCTTAAAGCAAGGATAACTAAATAAAATACATGTGCAGCATATTCTGCAATTCCATTACATACAGTAGTTTTTTTTCAAAGCTTTTTTTTTTAGTATAGTTAATATAAAGCAGTTGCACAAAAAGCAAAAGGTGTTTTGACAAACAGGTATGCATTTATTCCTTTTGAGGAATGATATCTAAAAAAAGGACCTTTCCACCTTTTCTTCCCTCCCCCCACCCCCAAAAGACAAAGGCTCACACAGACACATTGGGATATATATGTACAACATAATAAACCCCACCCTAAAGAAGCAACTGTATATCCAAAGGGATACAGAATCAGAATTGTAAAAATCATAGTGAAGTTTGCTTGATGTAAAGCCTGAGATTTTCAGTTGGTTCTTCTGCAAGGCTGTGACACCTGCCAGATATGTTAAAATCTAATTTTTTATTTCTTTTTCTCTTTTTTTTTTTTTTGCTACAGTCTTTAGACTAAGCATGCAAGACATACAACTAAGTGCAACTGAGTGAAATGTATTTTTTATTTACTCATTCCCTAACAGTTTGAACTGAGGTATGCGTACTAACAGTTTCTCATGCTGTTATCTTTACTCATGTCTAGCTACACATGCTGAGAATGAACTAATCTACCAGATTTTTATCCCCTTTTTTGAATACCGAACTAACCAGCAAACCACTCAGTTTAGAAGCACAGGGATCACTTCTCGTGATCCCCATCTGGCTACCGCCGGCACGTCATGAAGCTGCCTGGATATAATTAAAAAAAAAAAAAAAAAAGTTTCAAATGACCACAGACTGCCCCCTTTTTTTTTTTTTCTCTCTTTTCTTCTTTTTTTTTTTTTAAACAGAAAGCAGAGTTGAGCTTTAGAAAAGTAACTGCCAATAATTATTATTTTTTTGTACCAAAGCTTGAGAGTGGACAGGAGTGTTATTTCCTTATGAAACATGCTGACCAAAAAACTAAAACAAACCCGAGCAAATGTGCCAAGATAAACAAAAATTAAAGCTGCCATCCTAGCACAATCCTTAAACAAAAGTGGCATACAATCTGTAAAACCAAAGACCAAAACAAAAATTTGTTTTTACTCTAGAAATACTATTATGTGGTCCAGTTAAATTGTGGGAGCTTTTCTGTTCTCTTCTGGATTTTATTAAAACTGTCTCCTTTATTTGATACTCTAATTTTCTGCAAAAGAACCGTATGTGTGCGCGTTTGCTCTCTCCCGCTCCCTTCTCACAGCTCCTCCTGTAACACTGTTTCCTAGGCTGAGTCTCAAAAGCTCTCCTCGATTTCTCTTTCCAGAATTTCAGTTTGGTCGCTTTAAAGGAACACGAATAAAAAGTAACAACTTTGGTTCAGTCATCTACTTGGCCTTCTAAATTTACTAGAATAAAGGAGCAGTTTCTCTCTCGGATTAGCAATAGCCCATATCTTGTCATTTCCCTCTAAATTCTTCAACCTCCTTTGATCAACAATAAGAGGATATTTGGCTTCATAAGATAAAGCATATAACAGAGAACATAATTTACCTTTGTGTAATATCTTTGGTAATTTTAGGAAAAAAAAAAGGTACAAAGAAGAATATAAATTAAGCTCTGAAAGGCTTTTTTTTTGTTGTTGAAATCATAAAAAAGCTACAGTCCTACATAAATAAATGAGTGACAGAAAAGTGGCTGCAGAATGAAAACATTTAGGTGTTTGGTGACCAAGGTTTACTGACCTATAACAACAGCTTTTTTGTCTGTAATGTTTGCTTCGTCGAGCACTGCTAGTTTTGCCAAACAAGCCCCAGTCCTAGCTCTTGTCCTATATTCACTGGTTTCTACTATGAGGTTTTGATACTGGCTGGTGTAATATTGCATAACAATCTTAACTGCAGTACAGGATTTGCACAGTTGAAAATTAACACTTTAGCATTAGTGGGCTCAGTCCTTATTAACTCCCGTAACAAGTTCAATCTGAAATCTAATTTGTATTCAAACAGATTAATGCCGTCGAGCAATCCTGAACTGATGTTGAACTGCAAAACATCACCACGTACAATAACAGTTTAATGAAGTCATCTTTCCAACCACTATTTGGAAATGCAAAAAAATCACCCCCCCCCAAAATTAGCATCGTAAATGGATAGGTACCCCCATTTTGGTAATCTTAGATATTCCAGAAAGATTTGTTGGCCCATTAAAACTCATGTTAAACAACTGAGAGCTTGCCACTGTAGTATTCGTTCTCTAATGAAGTGAATTCTGTTGGTGCTGCGTATGTTTCTTTGTGCTGTTCAATTTTGTGGCATTTGCTAATATTCAACGTTGCTGCCAAAAAAAAAATATATATATATCTCAAAAAACTAAAACCGAAACAGAAAATTAAAAAAAATACTGCTTTGTGGAATGAATCTGTGTTGCTTCCTACAGTGTTTCTATGTTCGTCTGTCATTCATTCTCATTCTTGCAGTACTTCATTCCCTTCCTCTCTGTTGGACAACCTTTCCACGGACATAGTGCAGCATTTGGGACCTTTTCAGAAAAAGAGACACCAAAATGGAATGTTTTCCATAGCAAAAGAAAACATGGTGGCATCTGAAGGTAACTGGAATGAATGACAGAAAAAACTACAAACAATTCAATGACATTCAGCTTCGTATAATAAAAACACCTATTAACATTCATCACAAAGTACAGAAAACATGAAGCCTCCAAGAGGCTCTGGGCCCACCTGAGCCCTGAGGTCAGAACTTAAAATGGTAGGGGAGAAGTTTGGAGGGGTGGGGGGGGGAATAAAAGCAATACATTAAAACGTTTGGGATAATTTTTTGTTGAACCCCTCCCCAATACATACACACACACACGCACACGCAGGCCTTCCCCATCCCAAATGGAAGCAAAAAAAAAAAAAAAAAAAAAAAAAAAAAAAAAAAAAAAAAAAAAAAAAAAAAAAAAAAAAAAAAAAAAAAAAAACAAACAAAAAAAAAAACAAAAAACCCCAACAAGGAAAGAAAGAAAGAAATGGAGTAAAAGGCAGTGATAATCAACATGCAGTACTGTGCAAATATGTTGTCCATTGGAATCCTTAAAATTTGGGCAAAGGCTTGATCTGCAGTTTAGATGTACATGCTCAGTTTGATGTCCTCAGTGTCCAAAATTGGCAGGACTGCAGTCCAAAGTCTGCTGCTAAATGTGAGGAAGTGAATCAGTTTAGCAAATTGACAACACTGATGTTGACTGTAAGAGAGGAAAATCCCAAGTACCAAACAAGTCCATCCAATGCACAGAGTACAAATTCCTTTTTTCAACAAAAAGTAGAAAAATCAAAAATCCTCCCAAATGGGATACTTGATGGCACTAAGAGTTAACATATTTCATAGTTGTCAAAATGGACTGAGAATCCTCCAGACTGTACAATAATGGAGAGATTTCACAGCTAAATTTGACGTGTTCTTCCAATCTTCATTCTCAGGACAAGGATGTCAGACATATTCACTCTATGTCCTCATTTACAGGTTCATCTTCATAATCTCTGTCGTGATCAAAATCTGGACTGTGATTGGCTGTTGTCACTAAGGATAGCGGGCCTTCATTTTCGTCTGGATCTAATGGTTCTTCTTTGACATGCACGGGGTGCCTAGGGAAACAATTAAAAACAGTCCATCAACAACATCCCTGTTCAACAAAAGACCATACTGT